GCCATTGCAAAACACCCGTTTTCTAGCGCAGTGTTTCTCAACCTTGGCAACTTGAAGACGTGTGGTTTTCAACTCCCAAAATTCGGGGAGTTGAAACCCACACGTCTTCAAGTTGCCAAGGTTGAGAAACACTGTGCTAGAAGATAAATTAGCTGTCCTTGTGAAATGTTTGTGCATCCCAAAGACATTGTTGCAAAATGTGATTTTAAGGGCATGATGCTTTACTCACACCAGTTCCTTTTTTGATATTTAAAATAAATCTTTAACAAAACATCCAGTGAGGCAGATAAGCTGCTGGGCGCCAAGAGGGGCCCCCAAATGGCCTACTCCCGCTGTAAGCCATTCTTGCAGAAGCGTGTGCAAAGATGCCAAAGAGTGGGTAGGGTTGAGACTCGGAACGGCTTGCTGAAGAGGCAGCTGAGGATTTGGATCCAGGCCGTCCCAGATCCTGTCACCGTTCTCTATGGTTTGGTGTTGGTCCCCAGTCCCTGGGCGTTTGACTGGATGATACTTAACATCTCCTGCCATTCTTGTCTCCTGGGTAGGTCCACGACATCTTCTACCCTTTCACCCAGCCAGAGGAGAAAGAGGAAGAGCTGACTTTTATCCGAGCGAATGAATGCAAGACGGGCTTCTGCCACCTGTACAGAGTCACAGCCATCCTGCAGCGCAAGACGTACGATTGGACTCGGCCGTACGTGCCTAGCAAAGGTGAGCACTAGAAGTGCTGAGACTTTCCTTTGCAAATTCTTGGGATATTTTAATACCCAATCACTTCCTAACATAGCTTCATTTACATTGGCTCATAGTGAAAAAAGTGTTTTCCCCTGTTTCTTGTTTTTTAACAAGCTGTTTTTAATAGATACTCAAAGTTCTCTATGTAGATGTAGAGAGAGAGAGAGCTGTTCCTGTATTTTGATATACCCAGAAGAGAGCAGTCCTAGGTTAGTCATGTGAAACAATTCCAACATTAAAGTTGTCAAATGCAATAGGAAGCATATCAACTCATTTGTCTTGTGGATGCTTTAAGCGTAGCAAAACGTAGCATGGGTTGGACGTGCCTTTTTCCAGAATACTTCACTCTCCCACTCCTCTTCACTGTGTACATTCAGCATCCTATGACCAAAGCTTTGTTTTTTTCATGCTGAAACATTTTATACTCCTGTAAACCTTGGGGTTTCCTTTACAGTATCTTCTTGGTGTATCCAAGTTTGCTGTTTCAGAGCGTGCGTGCATGTATATTCGTGCGTGAAGAGAGAGATTTTATTTCTCATGAAATAAACGGACGCACACCCAGGGCAAATATTCAAACGTTCTAGTATCAGAGGTCGCAATGACCACCGATTTAAATGGTTTTAAGGAGGGAAAATTAACATCAACCGAGTCAAGGAAGACGTGTGGCTGTTGATCCGTGGCTGTTTGCTACCTTCCAAGTAATGAGTGGTGTGCTTTAAATATCGGCTGCTGGAGAGCAACAGCAGAGGAGAGGGGTCTGCTCCTGCCTCCACGTTTTCAAGCAACGTGGCAGAGCATCCTGTAGCAGATGGACTTCTGAGCTGATTCAGCAGGATTCTTTACGTTCTTAAATACATACTTCTGTATCTGTGTATGAATATCAGCACAGATGTTTGTTTGTTTGTTTGCCTAATTTATATAGTTGCCCATCGTGCATATGTGATTCTGGGCAATGTACAAAGTTAAAAGCACGAACACAATACAGCAAATAACGAAAAACGTAACAACAAAAATCATTAAAACGTTAAAAACAATAAAAACCATCAAGAACATTAAAAAATATATATCTGGTGAGTGAAATGGTGCAATTTTAGAAAGAGAAAACCACAGTGGGAACTTGTTTTGCCAGCCTCGTTGCGGGTTGCAAAACTCAAGTATGCAAAATCCTCTCTCTGGGATTGTATTAATGTTTTGATCTAGCAGAATTTATTCTACATTGGTGTTTGCTGGCTTTTTTTAGCCCATGAGTTTTTCTCTTGATATCCCCAGTCTGAGCATTTAATAAAAAGCAAAATGGGAAATGTTCCCACCCCTGTTTAGACCCACGGACAGCAGTGCATCCTGTCCTGTTGTGAGGGCACTATAAGGATATCACAAGTGGGAAGGCAACGCTCCAGGTGTTTTCCTCCTTTCCACTTCGTTTTAAGGCTGACAAATCCACAGCCTCCAAATATCCTTGGATGTTCAGGCATGGGATGGTGGAAGCTGTAGTCCAGCAAATTATGGCTGATGCTCTGCCCTCACAGCTGATTTCAGGGAGCACCAGTGGAACTGGGCAACCAAATCACACTCTGTTCTGTTTGTTCAGATGACTTCAAATGCCCTCTCAAGGAAGAAGTGGCCCTCACCAGTGGAGAATGGGAGGTTCTGGCCCGGCATGGGTACAAGGTACTAAGTCTCTTCCTCATCCAGTGAAAACACCATTTCAGGTCCTTGTCATCTCTTGTCTGCTTTCTAATTTGTAGTTTCCTACTGCAGCAAACCAGCTGGCAGCCTCTGCTCCTTAAATCCCTGCCTTATCTTCCAATCCAGTCCTGAATCCTGCCCAAGTGCCTTGTACGTTGTTCCAAAGGCCTCTGGGGTCTCCCTGCACCCCCCCCACCCCACCCCCACTTCTTTGACGTGCCTCTACAACTTTTCCTAGTCTTTGCTCCTCCAGCCCCACTGCCTTCAGGCGTCCAAAGGCGTGCTCCTCGCTGAAAATAGGTTACCTATTTTCTCTTGGTATCTCCTTTATCAGGGCAGCTGAGTTTCACAATGCCTGCGTGTGTCCACTTGATTGGAGAAGCTAAGTTCTGACCAAAGGTGTGAAGCTAAGTTCAGCCTGGGTGTGAGTGGCACTCAGTTGCATGACACATACTAAGGAACGTTGAGCCTTATTCACAACTTCCTTTTTTCCAGAAAGCATTTGATCCCACCTCTCTGCCAACTCTGTACCTTTTTTGTAACTAAGCTAAGCAGGGGTGTTCTGCAGGGCACGGTCAAAAAAGCCAAAATGATGCCTGTGATCAAAGCTGGTTCAAAGCTTTGATCGCAGTACTGCAGCTATTCTTGACCAAACCCTGCAGACACCCTTGAAGCTAACGGTGTGTACCTGAAATGAATTCCGATTCTGCCTCCCAGCAACTCTGGCTCTCAAAGCAATTTTTCATGTGTGCTCCTCTCTCTCTCTCTGTCCTCCTCTCTCTTGCCAGATTTGGGTGAATGAAGAAACAAAGCTGGTGTATTTCCAGGGCACGAAGGATACCCCTTTGGAACATCACCTCTACGTGGTCAGCTACGAATCTCCTGGTGAGGTCGTGCGGCTCACCACCCTGGGCTTCTCCCACAGCTGCTCAATGAGCCAGGTCTGTTTCTCCATGTCTGAAGGCCAAACAGCAACCAGGCCATCCGGATTCGGTTGGTTAAAAATAAAACCCACCACACCCTGGTAGGGCTATGTTTCTGAGGGCAGGTGTCCATGTTCCTTCTGTGATGACAGTCAGAGTGGCTTGTTAGTCTTTGGTGAGTTAACAAATTCTGGAAGTCTTCTCCAGCTTGGAGTTACGGGGACAGAGTAGAAATGGTCCCCGTTGCAGCACCGCTGGCAACTACAGCAAAACAAAGATTCCTGACTGCTCTCTTTAACTGGGGAGGAGAAGAGGCGATTGTCCAGACCAGCGGAGGGCCAGAATAGAAAGCTGCTGTGCACCATGTGAGACTCTTCATCCGGGCCAGTGTTCGTTACTCTGACTAGCAGACGCCCTCCAGAATAGACTTTCCCTCCACCAGCTACCTGATCCATTTGAGTGGAGGCTCCGGGGGTTAAACAGGCCTGCTGAGGGCAAACTAGCTGCTCTTCCTCTGAGTGGTACATGTCAGAAGCCGCGGTGAGATCAAGATGACACCAGGTGTGCTGTTGGGCTAATGAAGCAGCTCAAGTGTGCAGCTTCCATTGTTTGCACGATGGCGTCCTGAGACGTGCTGTCTTGACACATCTCCCTTCTGGCATGGCCTCTGCCTGTAGTCACAATTATTAAGACCAAAAGGTGATTTCCTTCATGAGGCCTAGAATCTTTACAGCAGGAATGACTCACCTCTACTCTGTTTGGTGTTTGTTACTCATGTATATAGCATTTTAAATAGCGAAAATTGGGGAAACGAAGGAACCTTCCCTGTCCTGAGTAGTTCATAGTCTGCATTTTGTATTAACAACAGGGAAGGAGAGAAAAGCTTAAAGGCACAGTGAACATCAAAATAAATATTTGCAAACGTAAAGGCTCTGAGTCTTGACTTTATGGAAGGTGAGAACCGTGTGCTAATAGAAAAATCGATACAGGGATGGATTGAAGGTAACTGATAGAATCAAGAAAGGTGACGGTCAGGAGATGTTTAAAAAGCCTTAGGGATCCCCAGGGTTGGATGCTGAGTGCGCTAAACTTTGTCCTTTCCTGCAGAACTTTGATATGTTCATCAGTCACTACAGTAGCGTCAGGACCCCTCCTTGTGTGCACGTTTACAAGCTCAGCGGCTCGGATGAAGACCCTCTCCACAAGCAGCCAAAATTTTGGGCCAGCATGATGGAAGCAGCCAGTGAGTAAAATCTTGCTGGGCATCAGCATTCATCCTTTTGCACCAAGGGGGTGCAGCGGCACCAAGGCGACCAAGCCCTGCCCTGCCCTGCCATCTTTGGAGTAAGGGGTGGGCCAGCCTCTCTAGTTGGATTGTGGAGCTGGGGCAAAGGTTGGGATTGCCCAGTTCTGCCCCACCCACCCTTCATTCTTGATGGACATTAATGGTGGTATTATTCAGAGAATAACAGTAGGATTTTGGCTTGGAGAACTGAAGACTTCGTGTTCCTTATGAGTCACTTTGGTGCACAGTTCTCTCTTTATGCCTGCAGAGAATGTAGAAACTATATTTTTTAATTCACAAGGGGAAAAAAAACTTTTAGGCAAGATCATTCATAGAGAAACATTGCACGACTGGGTTATCTTCGTTGGGGACAAGGTGTCACAGCGTGATGATGACCAGAGTGACTCCCCCCCTTGCTCCCTGTGTTTTGCAGGCTGTCCTGCTGATTACATCCCCCCTGAAATCTTTCATTTCCGCACCCAGTCGGATGTCGAGCTGTATGGGATGGTGTACAAACCACACGACCTCCAGCCTGGGAAGAAGCATCCCACGGTGCTCTTTGTCTACGGGGGGCCTCAGGTAGGTGCTCCTTGGTTCAGGTGATGGTGGTTATGAGTGCCATCAAGTAGCTGTTGGCTGTTAGCGACCACATAGACTTTCTCCAGGAGGATCTCCCCCTAACCTGGTCCTTCAGGTCTTCCAACGGTGCCCCCATCACCACTGTAACTGAGTCCATCTCCCTTCCTGCTGGTCATCCTCTTCTCTTTCCTTCCACTTTTCCCAGCATTATGGGCTTCTTCGGAGAGCTAGGTCTTCATGTATGTGGGTGGGTGGGTGGATGGATGGATGGATGGATGGATGGATGGATGGATGGATGGATGGATGGATGATGTGCCATCAAGTTGGTGGTGGTTCTTAGAGGCCACATAGATAGACTTCTCCAGGAGGATCTCTCCCTAACCTGGTCCTTCAGGTCTATCAAGGGTGCCTCCATTGCCCCTGTATCTGAGCCCATCCACTTTGCTGCTGGTTGTCCTCTTCTTCTCTTCCCTTCCACCTTTCCCAGCATTATGGGCTTCTCAAAAGGAGGTGGGTTTTTGCATTGACTGATTGATTGATTACACGCCATCAAGTCACTGTTAGCAACCATGTAGATAGATTTCCTCCAGGAGGATCTGTCCCTGTAATGGAATGTGAGAATGACCTTGGAAGATGGGGGGGGAGAGATGCTGCCTAGGGAACGATCTGATAAAAGGGGGAGGAACCCCCAACTGAGTAACAGACAGAGAAAGAAACTTAAAAGGACCCGCCTGAAGTAATCAGACAGTAAATAGGGGCGGTGGGAGATTTGTACTTTCAGACTTAGAAGATTCTGTTAATGTAGCCTAACAATAAAGTAGAAGTAGCTCATCTGGCCGTGTTTCCTGTCTAGTTTACCTGGGAGGGTTGACAGTCCCCAACCTGCTCCTTCAGGTCTTCCAATGGTGCCCCCATCACCACTGCATTCATCCTTTGCTGCTGGTCGTCATCGTCTTCTCTTTCCTTCTATCTTTCCCAGCATCAGAGACTCCTCCAGAGAGCTGGGTCTTCATGTTGATTGATTGATTGATTGATTGATTGATTGATTATGTACCATCAGGTTGGTGGTGATTCTTAGAGATCACATAGAAAGACCTTCTCCAGGATGATCTGTCCCAACCTGGCCCTTCAGGTCTTGCTGTAAGTCCCTCCCCCTTGCTGCTGATCACCCTCTTCTTCTCTTTCCTTCCACCTTTCCCAGCATCAGAGCCTTCTCCAGAGAGCTGGGTCTTTGCATCATGTGTCTGTAGTGGTATCATTTGAGCCTAGTTATTTGTACCTCGAGTGGGAACTCTGGGCTGATGTGTTTGATGATCCATCGGCTTGTTTTCTTGGCTGTCCATGGGATTCTCAGGAGTTTCTGGGTTAGCAACTATAGAGGGAATTTTCCAAACTCAGGACCAAAAGGCTGATGGAGGGAGAGCAAGTCACTCCATCCTTAGTCTGTCACTCTGTTTAATGAAGGTCTTTCTTCTTTTAATTTAGGCAGAGTAGAAAAATTGGCAGGCCACACTTCCCGAGTTCCTACTGGCCCTGGCCCTGCCAGCCTTTTGAAAAGCCTTAAAGGCCTAGGAAGAAGGCAGCGGCAAGCTGCTTCTGAAAATGTTCATGAGAAAACCCCATAGGCTTGTCTGCATAGTTGTCTGAAGCCAAAGGCATAAAATAAGTAGCGGCTGAAAGTCCGAGACCATCTGTGAAATTAGCTGATGGGAGATTGTGGACAGGCATAAGTGAACAACACGCAGCGCCTCGCTGATTTCACAAGACCATTGCTGCAGCAAGTGATTACAGCCCACTTGCTTACAATGTGCTAAAAAGAGGATAGAGAGGAAGAAGTGATCGGCGGCTGCCTGATACCAGCAGAGTACGCTTTGGAATGACCAAGGTGTGGGGGGTGACCTTCCTGGCCTCACTATCTCCCCTTTGAGGCCTGCAGGCAGCAGAGTGTTAGACTACGTGGAGCTGTTCTTGGCTGAGGTTCTTGCAATGTCTTGTGACTAATGATGGAGCGGGTTGTCTTTCCCTGGGGAGTCAATCACAAGCAAAGGATAATCATAATTAATTAATTCATCAATCATTTCTAGATGCATTCCGAAAAGCACAGTACTTAGAAATCAGTCCAACAAAATTCATGCACCTGGTAACAGCCAACCTGGGAAATGAATATTAACATTGAAAGAACCAACAGCAATCCATTTGAAACAATGCCCTGGGATGGGACTGAGTATATCTACCTCCATAATTATTTAAAGCAGAGGTTAAGCTGCGACTGTGAACTAAATAAGAAGGTAGAACAACCAGACCCTACAATGATCTAGTTAAAAATAAAACTCTCTACAGGGCTTCTGATTTCCCAGAGGGAGGAAACTGGTTTCCAGAGTCGTGGGGGGAAAGGAAGGTGGAGGGAACGTTGATGAAGGAACGCAGGAGCTGTTAAGGGAAAAGAAACAACAAGTTGGGCCTCTGGAAAGAAGGCACAAGAGGAATTCAAAAGAACCCCCCCCCCTTTACATAAGAGGGGACAGAGGGAAACTGATGGGCACCCAGGTTCTGTTATTATAAAGTCCTTGCCATGTCTGTTCCCTGACCTGGCCTACCTTGCAGGGCTGACATGGCGCCAGGTCCGCAATCTGGAGAAAGGCACAGAAGAAAAATTTGCTCAGAGGAATACAAAGAGCGAGCAGGATTGTAAGGAAAAGCAGGTGCCTCCAGGAGTTGGTTTCCTAATGAACGGGTGCATTGTTCCCCCCCCTTCTTCTCCCACACCCGTCTCGTAGGTCCAGTTAGTGAATAATTCCTTCAAAGGGATCAAATACCTGCGGCTGAACACGCTGGCGTCCCTTGGCTATGCTGTGGTGGTGATCGACGGGCGAGGCTCATGCCAGAGAGGCCTTAAGTTCGAGGGAGCTCTTAAGAATCAAATGGTAAGTCCTTGTCTATCTCCAGGCAAAGGATATGGTCTCTGTTCAGTGATCTGCAGATTCAGAGGGGTCAAAGTAAGTTTCTAGTCCTCATTATTTTGTCAGCTGCACTCAGGAATCCTCAGGGGTGGGAAGAATCTGCGAGGATGAGAAAATCTGCAGCAGTTACTTTCCTTGACAAGTTTGCCTGTTTTGAATAGCGCTGCCTTGGAGTCCCCTTTCTTTCTCTAATGCGTTTCCTTTACTGTTAGCTAGGGAAAATCAGCTTACACTCCCCATTTGCAGCCTCCACTGAGTATTTGGGAGAATTCCCTTTCTTTTCTTTCCAGAGATTTTACCTTTCTACAAATACTTGCCAATCCAAGTGTTCAAGATACCCTGAATATGCTGATATTTCCATATGTTTTTGCTCCATGCCTGTCAGTAAATGGAAAAAGTCATGGTGATAAAAATTAATCTGAAATCCCTTTCTTTGCCCTGTGCAGGTAGTCCTTGTTTAACAACAATAGGGACTGGAAAATTCGTTAAATGGGGCGGTTGTTAAATGAGTTGTGCCCGATTTTACAATCTTTTTTGCAGTGGTCATTAAGCGAATCACCATGGCCATTAAGCAAATCACAAGGTCATTAAGTGAATCACATGGTTCCCCGTTGACTTTGCTTGGGGGAAGCTGGCTGGGAAGGTCACAAATGGCGATCGTGTGACCCCAGGACGCTGCAACTGTCGTAAGTGCAGGCTGGTTGCCAACCTCCCAGATCACAATCACATGACCACAGGGGTGCTACAATGGTTGTAAGTGCAAGGACCGGTTGTAAGTCCCTTTGTTCGGCACCATTGTAACTTTGAATGGTCACTAAATGAATGGTTGCTAAGTGAGGACTGCCTGTATACTTTAAGTCCTCAAGAAGTGCTTCATCTTGCAGCTGCTGTGGCCCCTGAGAAGGAAACCATCTGGTCACACTCTCTTTTTTTCTACAATCACCTTCAGGGCCAGGTGGAGATCGAGGACCAGGTTGAAGGTTTACATTACGTAGCGGAGAAATACGGGTTCGTCGACCTCAGCCGCGTTGCCATCCATGGCTGGTCATACGGAGGCTTCCTCTCCCTCGTGGGGCTCATTTACAAGCCTCATGTTTTCAAGGTGAGGCTCGCTGGCTCGGCCCCAGGGCAGCTGTGAAAACCTACATGGGCTCGCCAGGGCCCTGAGCTGTGTCCTGGCCGTGGGGGGGCCTCCCACTCCTGGAAACCCCAGCCATTCCCCTGAGGGGGTGCTGTGCTGTGCTGTGCTTTGCCCGCCCCACCTGTCAGGCCCAGCCCAAGAACAGTGACGAGATAGTTCAGTCCAATATAGTTCTTTTATTAGCTTGCTCCTAATAGACAGAATCTCGCCAGACTAAACCTGTGCTAAAGCAACTAGTGGATACAGCCTGTGAGACTCTAGGGAGGGGCTATCCTCATCCTCTTCGTCTTCCCACGTTCTTGCTGTGGACTGAGAAAGTGCTTGCTCTGGAATGTTCTCCCTCCCTCCTGATAACCTTGATCCTCCATTCCAGTATCTTCCTCACTCATGCCATCCATCACACTACCCCATATCTAATTTCCTTGGGGCAAAGGAGAAGCTGGTGTTCCTTGGTTTTTCTGGGCTCTCCTACTTGCTCAGAGGCTCACCAGAGGGTGGCGAAGCCCTTTGACCGCTTGCAACCACACCTCCTGAATTGCTGGAAAATCGCTTTTGAGAGGAGCAGGATTCTCTGCCTGGTGACCTCATCTTGGCCTTAGGAGAAGAACTTGGGGAGCAACCACCTTCCCCATGTTGCTCTGCTCCACCAGGCTTTCCAAATCAAAACATCCAGAATGGGAGGGGTGGGGGTGGAGGGAGACTGGCCGATCATTTTGTTTATTTATTTACACAATTTATTAGCATAAATATTGCATTTAGTAGCATAAATTACACAATTTACTAGCATAAATTTATTATCGTTCGTGGAGCAGGTAGAGAGGTATTTCCTAGTGTTGGATTTATTTCTCAGTTTTAGAATAGTGGAATTACTCGCTAAGAATACCAAGAAGTTCATATTGGTCTGATCTTTTTAAGAGAAACAGAACCAGTTCAGTGACATGGAAGAGGGAGGTGCATTTGGGATATATTGCCAACCCCCCCACCCACCCAGAGCTAATACTCTATGATACCAGGAGAGGGAGATTTGGAAATAAGTAGAGAGAGAGGCATTCGTGAAAGCTCCCACGGAATCAGGATTTACTGTAAAAAATAAGTTTCTAGGCTACATGGATTCCAGCAGCAGCTTTGTTGAACATTCAAGCCTCCTGTGCGTGAAGCTGTTGAAGCGTCAGGTCCCTTCCTGTGCATAGCAGAAGCAGGATCCATTTTACAAAACAGGTTTGCTGTTTGGCCTACTGCAGTGTTTCTCAACCTGGGCGACTTTAAGATGAGTGGACTTCAACTCCCAGAATTCCCCAGCCAGCCATGGGGAGTTGAAGT